CAAGTGGGGTCGTTGTCATATCCCGGAATCCCGACCCCGCGCACTCCCACCACATCACACCTTCCTAACAACTTCACCATCCCCTACACCTTGCCTCCCCACTCTCCTAGTCACCTTCCCTCCTGACTGTCTCAGCTCCGTTCTGGTTGCAGCACACCGAACCTTGGCCACTCCCATCCCGGAACCTCGGTCCCGAGTCGGAACATTCGGAGATCCCGGATTTGCTCCGATATCCTGACGGACCTCTGACATCCCGTGACATGCCCTTAAACCCTTCCTCCACCCATTTCATTTATTTGAGTCACCCAACATCCTTCGGATACGCAACTCCGCTTTCAGAGCTACCCGCATCCTTCGGTGATTTCCCTCACGTTATCACTTATTAGTCATCCCCCATTCTTAGCACGACTACCTTCCTACTACCATTCAGTCGGCTAACCCCCTTTATCCATTTGTCTTCCCCATTCATTTTCCGGCCTCCAACTCCGCCCTCCTTGGCCCGACACCTTGGTTCCCCGTTTTAGATATCGTTCGGAACCTTTCGGTACCTCTCGGTATCATTCGGTACCTTTCGGTGTTTTCCCCATTTTGTCATTTCGGGCTTTGACTAAAGTCCTCCCCATCCTCCTTTAATAAATACACGTAGATTAGAACCTGTAGTTCCTCAGTTCTAATCTCGACTAAAATGCCACCCAAAGTCCCTCTGAGTGAATCCTGTCCCTGTTCTACAAGACACCTCAGACATAAGAAATACAAGGACTAACTGAGATGTAACGGAGGCACAGCGCTCCCTCCGAGTCGCTGAGGCCGCATCCTTCTTAGAGCCTCTTGTACCATCCAGCAGAACCGGGCTCCCTGAGAAGCTTCGGTTCACTACCGGAGCCCTCGGACCCCCCTCTAGTTGAGCCCTGCCTGCATTCGGACTCACGCATTTACCCCCTCTTCCACAACCGACGGGTTTTTGACAGTCGTACCAATCATGGAGATACAGGCCAGGGAACTTAGCCTATATATATCCGTTCCAGTAGCGATGTCGCTGTATGCTCCATGCATCCTGTATCCCTTGCAACCATGAGGGAGACACTAGTCGGAAATGCGTCCTCCGATGGGGGATGATGGCAGGCATGGAGTCCCGTTGAAAAGAAAATTTCATTCCATCCATGGCATAGGCTCAAATGAATGCGCGATGAATCATGTCGTACGAACTGAGCACGCAATGGCCATTCAATCGGAACTCGGCATCCATGTTGTGGTCGGAATAATCGTGGTAAACGAATGAGGGGTCTGCTAGGATCTCGGGGTACATTGTATGGCATAATATTGGTGCATGGTAATTGATCTCAGGGCTGGACTATAAGCGTGAAGCTCAGTCTCAGCCAATATGCGTGAAGAATTGAGGAAAAAGAAATGAATGAATATATCCGTGGGCCTGGCACGGATTAGTCTGAAATAATAGGTGGCTGTCCGGGCGAGTTCCTCACTTGGACGTGGGAATGTGGCTGTACGAAAACTCATCCAGCCTACCTTCCATACCAACACAAACAAATCGCCCTATTCGTGAGTGCCTCACAAGAACATTGCTCGTCTGATGATAACTCTATCTTAATGCCCCGTGGCCTCGTGATGACATGGCAGTGCGGCTTTCCCATCGTGACACCCTAGCATACATGGGGGAATGCCTATACATGATGGATATTCTGGTTGGTATCTCCGGGTGTCATTGTTCCTCGGGGTATGTGGTGTCCGTGGGTATTGTCGTGTTAAAAGTGAGAAATAAAATAAAAATAAAAAGCAGTTATGTCTGTCCGTCTATCCCCAGCATCTCCTGCTCCGCGTCTGTTCTATGTGCCGCGTGGCCGGTCCGTTATCGTTGGTTTTCCGTTTGTCACCTGTCTTGGACTTTTTAATGAAAAACACGAGTCTCTATGCCTTTCACTTTGCCAATTAGCGTGTTGAACTTCGTCTGGTTCGCATCCTAGTAGGTGTTTATGTCTCCTCGTCCAGGGGCATTCCATCAGAATGTGTCCTCATCTGTGTCAGTTTCCCGCATTGGTATGCTCTGCTCTCCAACGTGATGCTGAAGCGGTGGTAGTATTCTCCTATGTGAGCGTGTCCTGTTCGAAATTGGAGGAACTCGGCTGAAGGTTTTTCTGTCGAGTTTTCTGAACCGTTTCGTGGGTCTGAGTTTGGGTGCTAGCTGGTTCGCCGCATAGAAACCCAACCTCGGAGGGTTTGGTGTGTTCGTCCATCGGTGTGTCCAGGCTTCTTCCATCTCTCTCTTGCGTAGACTTTCTATGTATGAGAGGGATTTAAAGTTCGGTCAAGCTGGTCTGAGTTTGGCCCCTCCCTTTGCTAGTTGGTCAGCTTTCTCGTTCCCTGGTATACCGAGGTGGCCTGGGCACCAGTGCAGTGCGATTTTCGACTCCTCGAAGTCTGTTAGGACTTTGCACATGGTTTTCCTGAAGTCCCTGGCTAACTCCTGTGCCTTACGCGGCTTACTCTGAACAACACGTTTTAGTGCACCAGTGTTGTCTGCATAAATGACGATGAGGGTGGGTTTAGACGACTTTGCCACATGCGTAGCCTATGGCGCTGAAGCCCATTTTTATCTTGCCATCTTCCTTGTATCGGGATCCATCCGAGTATACGAAGAGGGTGTTTGGGTCGGCTTCACATTCTGCAACGAAATTCATGTGGTCGTCGGGCTTGAATGAGTTTCCGGGGATTGCTCGTCTGGTAGTAAGGAGAGACGATGGGAGGAAAGGTGCGATGGTCACCATATTGCGTTTTTGCGATGACTGGGATCATTTGTTCGCTAGGTAACACGGAAGTGGTAGTTATGGACCTGAGTTGGCCTGAGTCAGCCATAACGTCGGCGCTATCTCTTATACATGCCTGTACTGAGAAGGTCATGCAGGTGCTTCGAGCTTCCACAAAACAATGGAGAAGGTCTGCTCAGCACGGTGCAACCAGGCTCCCTGAGCTGGTGGCTGCATGGCCAAGTACAGCCCCCCTGGGGTGTACCTGTTTGAGCAAGAGCGAGACAAGCGCTCAGCACGGTACTGGATCGCCTCTGCCGGGACTTTTTTTTTGTCTAATAGCACGGGTCATGCCAGGCGACCGCTTCTCGCTCTCTGATTGGCTCATTCCAGGGGGATCACGTTAACACCGAGTTTTTTCGGTTCGATGGATACATAGTGGTTTCGACAAATTTTCGACGCTGGGAGCAGTGACCACGGCAGCCGAGGCACGTGATGTGCGCGTCGATTAATCTTATCCTTATAACTGATGGACGCCGCCTGAAGTGGCAATACCTGCTACTCCCACATCGACGCAGCGTCGCAGCCCACTTAGAAGTCACTCTGGAGCCGTCTTTGCACGCTGTGGTACTAGGTGGTACTACAAATGTAAAATATCATTAAGTTTTAAATCAGGACCGCACCCCCAGTCTGCATATACAACCCCACTGACATTATGAACCTGAATTGAATGCCACAGCAGTATAACACTCCAAGACTGGCGAAGGAGTTTATGTGATATTATTTGGTTTCGGTGAGTAAATACAAGCAAAATGTCATGACAGTGTTCGAGAGAGGGAGGTGATTGGTTTGTCAACAGCAAGGAGAGCAATGCAGACGGTGTGTAAAAGCGCGCGCGAAACCTGAGAGTAGGCAGGAACCTGAGAGGACAGGAAGGTAGTCAAAAAGAAGATGGAAAAACAAATCACAAGAGGGATATTGAGAGCGGTGCGCAACACATGCACCTTGAGTAACAATCGCCGGTCAGGGCATGGCGTAGGAGCCAATTCCATTGATCGTTGATTGACAATGAAAAATCATATAGGCCGTGAGCGATCGCTTCTTTGGTTAGATGAAAATCGCAATCAGCTTCAGTGGTAAGGAGTTTAAATGGCCAGGGGCCACTTAAAAAGGCTCGGTGTGGAGAGGACGCCATAGTGTGGAGCAAGAGTTTGGGCAGGAAGGAAGTGCAGTGGGAGGGTTGGAGGATTTGGGCAGGAAAGAGTGGGAGGGTGGAGGTTTGGGTGTAGGGCCAAGTGGTGAGTTAGGATCTGCAGCGGTGAGGGACAACTTGGGTTAGCTTGGTAAGCAAGTTGAGGTAATCTGGAGTGTCAGAAAGCTGAGGTAAAAAAGTGTCAGGGCACGGCCTAACCGGCTACCCTGACTCCCTATGCCGGAAGGGAGTTGCTGTAAGACGATCCGGAGTGATCTGAAGAACGCAGGTAATCTCGCTTAGCTTTCGCTTAGCTCCCGCTTCCTATCTTCCGTCCACATGTCACCCCTTTCCCACACCTCGCTTACGATTATCCGAATGAATAGCTATCTTTTCATGTCGTCATTCTATCGGTTATCTTCTATCTCGTTGTAGCCGCACTCTAGTGGGTAGTGGTACCCATGTATATAACCCCTATCTCCGCTGAGGGTGGCACCTCAGTGTTAACAACGACTAGGATTCTCGGGAACACCCTTATTGTCGCGAACTGACGTGCAGTCCCTGACAAAAAGGGAATAACCAATAACGGTGCTCAGGTATTCAGTTTGTGCACGCAAGACCCGCTACAGAGTAGCGGGAATTTCACACGACTACTTTTGCTCCCTCAAACTGGATGGCCGAGCTTCCGATGTTGCCCATTTCTCATGGGGTGGCCATGTGGGTAAAAAAAATCGAACCCCCTCTGGAAACAAAAGCCTCGCAAGCTCCGCCAACAAGCTCCACCAATCACGATGGTATCTAGCGCTGAATGGTGCCGCATGGTCCTGCATTTTTTCAGCGCTGATGGGACCTTGCGGGTGTTCACTAGTTGAGAGAGGGAATGGGTATCGGGGCAATCAGGTAGAGGCGGGCCCTAAGGTTATTCAATTAAAAGAAGTGAGTTGAAGAAAAGTAGATTACGCACTGTGTAAGCTAGCGGTGGACTGAAAAGCATTGGGGGATTGACGAAGGGTAACAATCGATAGTAATTGGAGGGCCCCAGGATATCCTCAAAATAGCCTGCTGCAATTACCACACCGATACTTGATGTACACCCCCTCGTGCAGGAGTTCCATCTCAAAGAGTGCTTCGAACTCCTCAGTTACGAAAGCGCTTGCCTCAAGTCCAACGTTTTGACTAGGCTGAGAGGACAATCTTGCTAGCTCTTCTGCTGCTGCCAAGATATACCGTTTCCTAGCATGGAAGGTGGTCAATTCTTCCTTGAGGCTCCAGTTGCTGCCTTCTGGTAAGCCAAAAAGTGTGAGGTCACTGCAAGCGACCTTTGCGATCTTGCACACGTCAGGATGCAAATCTGTCAATTGGTACGCATGTGCAGTACCCTCAGGCAGGACTGACTGAAGGACCTCAGCCATCGTGTAGGCTGCAGAGGATGGTTGGCAATGATTGCTGTTGGTCAGCACATACCAGTGTGGAACTTGTTGGCAGCAGAATCTCAGAGGCTGGCTATTTGGATCCCATGCATTGTTGCATGGGTTCTCACAATGGTTCTCGATAGGCTAAGCAGTGGTTCAGTAATGGGTCAGGGTTTGGCTAGGGTGCTTACATGAAACCATTCAAGTCCCTCTTGGAAGAACCGGCTTAAAAAAATTGCGTAAGACCCTGTTAGTAGCTCTGGGCATTTCAGGATCCTTACATCCAAAACCAACCCTCATAGTAGTGAGGGACTATGTTCCCTGCCTGTGCTTCAGAGAAGGCTTGGCGATCAAAGATAGATTGGATAACAGGACATGAATCTATCAGTAGCTCAGGGCAAACCCGAGGCGAAAAGTTAGAAACATACGTTTGATGTCCCTCCAAGACCGGACAATGGAAACCCCCTTGAGCTGAATTAGCTCACCAGGGTAAACGTCAAATGAACTAGGGGAGAATAGGTGTGACTTGCTTCTCTCCGCAACGTGCTCAAGACTTATGAGAGCTGCTCATGAAGCTCTTCTGGAACTCCATTGGCAGATGCTGAGATTTCGGCATCCCAGTAAACCTCCAATTCCACTAGCTATGGGTGGTATTAGCAATTAGTAGAGGTTACGATGATGATTCTTGCCTGATCCTGATCCTCGTCCTCATCCTCAACAACATAGTGTCAGCCAGGAGTGCTGGATTGACTCAGAGCACTCACGGGTGGGGGCCTAATACTTATTATCTTCCCCTTTCCGCCAGTCTCCACCAGAGTCTTTGCAAAGTCTTCGTCTTCACTCAACGTGGAATCGTCCATCCAGTAGACACTACAGGAGGCTCAGCTACACCCTCACATATCGTAGAGCAAGGGCTCACAATTCGCCCACCCGGTATTGAAATCCCACCCCTCCTTTCTTCCACCATACTGGACCTAGCCCAATGTCAGTCAAGTGCACTAATACGAAGCTTTTTCATTTTCACCATAAAACGAGTCTTCACTTGGCTGCTCTGACATGGGTGCAAGGAAGAGCGGGATCGATCGGTTTGGCCAATGCCGACAGCTCCTTGTTCTGTGTGCAATAACTCTTGCCCTCAACACACGCCCTTTCTCTGGAAATGGACTGCGAACGACAAGGCCACCCCGCGCGCCCAACCTCGTCCCAAGAGGTACTGATGCGACCTCTTTTTGACAGGCCCTGTTCTCCACGTCATGTAAGTCGACCGAAGCGACCGAACGTATAATCCCCAGGGATGACAGCTCAGAAATATACTTCATCCGTTCTCCACCACATCGTCGGATCTCATCTACCTCCTAGCCACAGCTCACTCTTGTGAGGATTGCAATCGCCCCTTGGCAGTGCAATCTCTACAGGCACAATATGGCCGGGCTCAATTGACTTGGAATCTGCGTGATTCTCATGCACACATCTCTCCAGATGCGTTGTTACGCTCTAAAAACCTTTCCCACATGCAATCCACACGTGTGTAACTCTCAAACACGCGCCTGTGTTGATTAGGTCGTTTTCATGCCAAGTTCGCGCGCTTGTACCTGCTCTGCTTACTTCGCTCGTGTTCACGACTCCCCAGGCCCACACTCATGACCTCTGGGCCATCCACCCACAACTTCCATGTCCACATGCAGGAAAACATCGCGCCCACGCATGCTGAGAAGCTCGCGCTAGTCCTGCCCCATGCGTTATTCACGTGCTGACGGCATTCTACACGTACATTTGCACCTTCTAGGCACACTCCCACGTGTGGCGGTTGAGCAATACTGGTAGATGTCATATCCATACAATCCTGACCTCCGCTCTGGGCTCCCGGAACTCCGAACTCCGACTTCCGGAGCCCTACTTCCCTTCCGTCACCTTCTCCTTGCCGACTCCCAAGAGGTTATCCCACCTCCGGCTCAGACACCACCTTCGGTCCGACTCCGGAACATTCCGGGTCCGACCCCAACCTCGACACCTTCCAGACGAGTACGCAAAACCTATGCTCCTGACTCCGGACCTCCGCTCCGGTATCCCGTTCACGTCTCATCTCGGAACCTCCGGTCTTAGCTCCGACCTCGGACTTTGACCCCACCTCCGCTTATACCCATTGTATTGGTTAGCTCATTCCATTTAATTATGTTTGCCAATATTCCGGAGTTTAACCTCCGAGTTCGGACTTTCCGGACTTACTCCGGACCTTGCAACTATTGCATTGTCCATTTCAATTCCGCTATTCTCCCTCATTCCTATTTGGGCTGCTGCTTCCTTTCTATTCAGTCAGCTAGCCATTCCCGACTCCCATCCTCCTTCCTTCCTTCTTGGGCCTTGGCCCTTCATTCCTCCTTTGGGAAACACCATTGAGTCAAACTCTTGACCCTCGGTGTTGTTCCTCTTTCCATCTCCCTTTGTCTCCTTTTGTCCTACCCTTGTTCCTTTTGATTCCGGACCCCTCCTTATATACAATGTACCTAGTAACTTGTAACCTCAGTCCGAAATCGACATGAATTCCCCCAAGAGACTTTCCCTCTGCTAGATCCGAAATTAGGGACCCCTAGGACAACCAGCAATGGCACAGCGCTCCGCATGAGTCGCTGAGGCCGAGGTCCTTCCACGATAAGTCTCCGATTCCATTCCGGAGTCGTCCGAGTCCGCCACATTCTAACAGTAGACACCTGAACGCAATATGTTGAATAGACTAGTCAATTAGTGACATAGCACTTGGCGGCTACACTCATGCTATGACGAAGGGACCTGAGGTAAGACCAAAAGATGATTATTATTTAGCCTAGCTAATCATGACTTGTATTCCAACAATGAAGAAGGGATAGACGCCCTTGCCAGAGGCTGCTGTTATTTGGATGATCGCCACATTGGTGGATTTCTGCATGCGAATATATCGACGCTGAGATCCTGTGGTATGGTCCATGACCTTGTGCCTTGCTAGACGACAATGGATCTATACGCTCCTGCTGCCATTCATGAAGACACCTTGCTCAGCCAGGGTTGAGGCCCTATAGGGGTACCGATTTTGCGCTGCTAAGCCTACCTAAGAGGTGGTTTTTACCAAGGGGCCCCAAGATCAATGTGGGGGCCCCTTGGTAAAAACCACCTCTTTGGCGGGCTTAGCAACACAAAATAGGCGCCCTGAAAAGACAGTGAATCAATTAACATGTAAATAAGTAGCGTAAATGTAATCGAAGAATGAAAGGAGTTGGACAGAGTGAACAGATTAATCAGGTAACGTAAAAAGTGAGTAGAAAATGAAGGAATAGGGCGAGTGAAGAAATGAGCAGCCAAACAACAGAACAAATGAGGAGGCAAAGGGACATCTCTATGCCCTAAGACCAAGCGAAGTCCCCCGGACCATCAAAACTCACGTCTGTAGTTTGGTGGTGAGTCCAGTCCCAAAAGTCAGTGTGAAGATGATCCAACACTATGTTCAAACACGATTTCAATTATCAATGAGCTAAATAGTAAGAATCGGAATACATACACGAAGTCAATGGCATGAATTATGTTATCCACCTTCCCCCCATGGTGTCCGCCATGTAGCCATTGCCTGCTAGCCACTGGAGAATTTCTATAAAGCCAAGGGATCTACTACCGTCATAGTAGGTCTACTATGATCTGAATTGATTTTAAAATTCCCACGGCATAGTAGGATTGAATGGAAAGGACTGAATTGGTTCTGAAAGTCAAGTGGCTCGACTACCGTCATAGTAGGATTGAATGGCATAGTAGGATTTTTTTCTCATGGCTAGCAAGTGAGGATGTCCACTTGCTTTTTTTCTCACGGCAAGCAAGTGATGATGTCCACTTGCTTTTTTCTCACGGCAGCAAGTGAAGATGTCCACTTGCTTTTTTCTCACGGCAGCAAGTGACGATGTTCACTTGCTTTTTTTCTCACGGCTAGCAAGTGACGATGTTCACTTGCTTTTTTTCTCATGGCTAGCAAGTGACGATGTTCACTTGCTTTTTTTCTCACGGCTAGCAAGTGACGATGTCCACTTGCTTTTTTCTCACGGCAGGCAAGTGGAGATGTCCACTTGCTTTTTTTCTCACGGCAGGCAAGTGGAGATGTCCACTTGCTTTTTTTCTCACGGCAAGCAAGTGAAGATGTCCACTTGCTTTTTTCTCACGGCAGCAAGTGACAATGTTCACTTGCTTTTTTTCTCACACACAGGAAATGAAGGGTAACCTTCAACCTCCTGTGAAGCCGCTACAAATGGGAGCCAGGAACTATACAGTTTTCAGCTCTTTGCTGACTTTCCATAATTGGTACCCCCCCGTGGGAAGATTCTGGGCGAGCTGCTCGCCCAGAAAGTTCCCACGGTTGTGGCTGTGATGGTTTCTGGGCGAGTAACTCGCCCAGAACGTTCCCACAGTCTGCATGCATGCGGGATTGTGGAACAGTGAAGGGAAAAATAGGAGAAAATGGGGGAAGGGTACCTGAGGGTGTGTGGGGTCAGGGGCTGTGCCCTGACAGCTAGCAAGTGACGATGTCCACTTGCTTTTTTCTCATGGCAAGCAAGTGAAGATATCCACTTGCTTTTTTTCTCACGGCAGCAAGTGAAGATGTTCACTT